AGATGAAATATGTAAGGTCCTCACGTCTCTAAGGACTAAGACCTAACATATTGGTGAGATTAACGTTTTCATTTACTCCGTATATAATTTGTGGAAATCCGTTTTATAATGAATTAGAATTTTTCCCGCTCGAGTACATGGCTAAAGATATTTGTTTGCTCTCAATTTCAGATAATGCTTGGCAGAAGACACAACCTTTCTTTCTAAAGGTATCTTAAGTATTAATTCTAGAGAGAAGCGAGAGCTAGAGAGAGAAAGTGAGTAATTGTAAAATGTGGATTTTGGCCCCTAGCCTTGGGCTTAGGAGGCCCATTACAATAATCATGCCTTCTTTGGGCGGATAGGGCCACTAATGGACTGAGTACAACACTTAGTAAATAAAACAGGGAAATGCATTCTGCCTAGACGAAGTCCGGACGATGCGGTCCATGGACGATGCGGTCCATGGACGGTGCGGTCCATGGACGGTGCGGTCCATGGACGGTGCGGCCCCTGAGCTGTGACCTAAGGGGCCCAGGTGACATCTTCTTCTTTAGACGTTGCGGGCCTCTGGCCAATGCGGGTGTCACATGGGTGCCTTGCTGGTGCCTTTTGGGCCGTTGAGTATGTGGGCCATGGGGTCCAGGCCCATATACTCTATCAGGTATAGTCTCCTGGTCAGAGCTCTATATATACTCATGGTTATTTGCGTTTCTATCGATCCGAAAATCAGAAATCGGTTCCCTGCTACTCTATTAACGTTGCATCTTTGAGTTCGCTAGTGTCTTTCGGGAACGTAGAAACCGTTCTATCCTGGAAGACGATTGCTACTTGTGTTGTGGACAAATTCGTTTTAAGGAGACAGCGATTCGTTGGGCTCGGTTTGATCCAAGTATTTTTTTTATTTTGTTTTTTTTATCCAAGTATTTATATTTACTTCTACTTATTTATTTATTGCATGCAGAATTCTCTCTAAAAAATGCACCAAATTATAATTCATATTAGACCATGGTTAAAAAACATAGAAAGGTTCTACTCAACTGAATATAAAATTTAATTTTGTCAAATTTGGTCCGACCAAATTTGAAAATAGGCCTTATTTATACTCCCTCAAATTAGATTCTTGTGGTGAACACATTCTGTGAAATACTATAGTATAAAATAAAATTTAAAAAAACAACAACATATAATTATATTCCAAATTAGATTCTTACCATAAAATATTATTTTCTATGCTGCACTTTATAAGATTAGGAGACCCGGTGAAAATCATGTAAAATAGGCCTTATTTATACTCCCTCCGTCCCTATATAAAAGCATCCGTTTGAATGGCACACAACCTAAGAAGATATATTGTTTGGCACTGTTTCGACATTGTTTTGTTTGCCAAAAACGGAAAGGGGGCTTTTATTTAGGGACGGCCCGAAAAGGAAACATGTGCTTTTATTTGGGGACGGAGGTATTTCTGGTCAAAAATCATGTTCTTGTCAAGAGTTTCTCACTAGAACCGCCGTGCGGAGTCGCTTTCATTTGAGGTATTTCTGGGGGGATTTTTTTGACAAAATCTTGTGATCATGTTCTTAATAAAGTTTAGAATATGAGCAAAACAAAATGAGTTTAAAATTCAACCTAGAAGTCAATTGAATATATTATTTAAAAGCATTGCGCCTTTTATATGTATAAAAAGCGCAATTTTGTTAAAAAAATTAACTAAATTCTCAAGTGAATTTTAATCTGAAATTTGGTTGACATAATTTACACTTCATGTAGGACACGTTCACAAAAATTTATAAAAAATTCACCTTAAAGCACTTCAAATGGAGTCATTCGCATGGCGGTTCCTGTCAGAATCTCCTGACATGAACTGTCATCAATACATATATTACGGAGTACACACACATATATTAAAAAGTGGGCCTAATAGTTTCAGAGGCCCTATGCGAAGGCACTGTTTGCACAGCCCTGTCTACGGCCCTCGCAAAAATGTGAACATTTTTCTAAATTAAACTCCACAAACTATTTATTTTTTCCATTTTTTCCATTTATCCATCTTTTTTATACGAATTTGAACAAAAATGTGTATAAACCATTTTTAGAAGCATGGGAAATACACAAATAAATACACGGAGTATTATATTATGGAGTATTATTATAGTACTAATAGTAGTAGGAATAAAGGGCGTGTTTTGGACTTTTAAGACATACATACATTCGTTTGGACTTTTCTAGAATTTACCTCTCTACTTGGATAAGTATCGATACCTTGCTTTTGAGAGATGGGAGGCCCAAATACAAATATTGTGAAAGTTTTTCAAAAGATTCTCTGTTTGAGCGCATGGGTTCTTTACAACAATATTACTAAAATAAAACTTATTTACATAAATATGACTATTCATTACTACAACGTAGTGTTGTAGTAACTTAAGTTCGAAACTTGAACATGAATTACTATGCTTTCATTACTATGATTATATTAATGTAATTATTAGCTTCACTCACAACGGCCGTGGTCAGTTGGTTACTTGGTTAAAGAGTTAGGACGGATGTTTGGAAATTTTAGAAATCGAAATGCCCAAGTTCTCATTACACCAAGCTCAAATAGATTTGTAATATAGAATCCATATGAAAATGGGGTATACTCCCTTCCTTTCAAAATTTGGATCTTTTTACTTCGGCTTATTTTAAATACAAATCAGATTAAATCAAACTAGACTATACCAGTTCAATCAAGACAAGATCAATCCGAACAGACTTGACTAGACTAATTCAGACGATGCCAGACCGGACTAGATCTGATTTCAAAAGTTGCAAAATACATAAAGATCAGACAATTATCTGATCTGACTAGTTCAGATCAGATCAAACCAGAAAATACAAGAACAAAAGATAAAAATATCATAATCAACACATTTTTTTTCCTATTTAATCATAAAAGATACAAGATCACATGTTTTTAAAAGAGATCACTTGATGAAGCGGTCCAACTTAGCTGATCGCCAACTCACTCTCCTTTGTGGAAGGTTCCGGGTTCAATTCTCAATATAATGACATTGAACCCAGTTTACCCCAGGTCTCTCAAACTCCCCTCCCCAGACGCCCTCTGGGTAAAAAAAAACACTTATATTAGAATTAAATAATCGATCTAGATTGTAAATTACTGGAGTAACTCAAAGGACTCGCGCTAACCTTATGTAAATTATGGAAAACAAGTCATGGTCTCCATTTCCAAAAATACGGGAATAGAAATTTTCTCCATTTTAAAAGGACCAACATTTTATTTGTTTTAACCATTACAAGTAAAGATGCGGGAATAGACGTTTTCCTTGCACACATTTTATGTACAAACTTGTATGTGTACATAGGAGCTTCGGAACGAGCTACCTATCTACACAGACAGTTGGTGGGTACCTAAAATGTGTACAACTATGTGTACAAACAGCTTTTTCCTTCAAAAAATAGTATTCTCTCCATCCCAAAAAATAGTTTCCAGTTTTCTTTTTGGACCGTCCCAAAAAATAGTCCTTATTTTTGTTTTTGGAAAGTTATGTGTGACTACCATTCATTTAATTTTTTTCTCATTCAATCACAATCAAACATTCTCACTTTATTCTCACTTTCTTAAACTCCGGTCCAAATCATAGCGAAAACTATTTTATGGGACGGAGGAGGTACATGTTTAAAATGTATTTAAGCTAACTAGCCAACTATGGCATCAATTTAAAAAGGCAATTTTTATGAATAATTAAAATATTAATAAATGATGAGATAAGTACAAAAACTCTTATTCATTAGATAGAGTGCTACTCCCTCCATCCCCAAAAAATTGACCGAATTGACTTTTCTCGGTTAATAGTGATCAAATCGACTAATGATATTTTTCAATACAAATTTTTTTAAAATATGACAATTTTATGAACACATTTTTTATTAAAAAAATCATTCATAAAAGTATAAAATTTATTAATAACACAATATGAAACACAAAATCATTGTCTAAATTTTAACACCATCGATCAAGAAAAGACAAATTGACCAATCTTTTTTAGAATTTTGGGATAGAGGTAGTATTATTTATTAGTAAAGTAGTGTAACACTCAACTTAAAACAATTGTCAATTTAAGATAACTAACCAACTAGGGTATCAATTAAAAAGGGCTAAATGGTCAAATAGGTCTTCGAACTAAATTGAAAAGTGCAATTCATCACTCGGATCATATAGGAGACTATGTCCGGCCCTCGTCAATTGGGTCAGTTCGCGGTGGAACTTTTTGATGAAATTTTTTGAGCATCTTCTTCATTAAGTCTAGTTTATCCATACCAAATTTCAGATAAAAATTCAACAGGAAAGATAGTCAAATGATTTTCTGAAATGTATTGCGCTGTTTAAAAAAGTCAAGTTCCATGACATCCTCAAAGTACTGTACCTTGATTACTACTATTGAACAATTAAAATATTACTACTTTTGTCCCAAAAATATTTTGCAAGGTCAACATTTTTATCAACTAATGTTAAATTTAAATTCTCCTTATTAATAATTTATTCAATTTTAATAAGTAAAATTTATATATTCAAAAATTACATTAAATTCTCTATGAAGTTGCAAAATCTAAATTAAAATTTAATTAATAATTGTTTTCTTAATTAAATGAATAAAATGAGTCTGACCCAAAAAGTTCATTTTTACAATTCAATTTGGAAGGGAGAGAGTGATAAATGATGACTATGGAGGTATGCTAATGGAGTATAGAGTATTTATGTATTAGTAAAGTAGTGTAACACTGAGCTCGATTTTTCTTTTATCAATTTATTATCATTTTCAACGGCAAGAAAAAAAAGAGGGGGAATAAATAAATATGTACAGCTCCAGCCTCAATGCACTGATTCCCTGAAGAAGTGGGTAAGGCAACAAAACAGAGGAGGGTAGATAACAAGTAAAAACTTCCAAAACTTCACCACCAAATCCCCATGGCGTAAAGCAATAATAACTACTCCGTACAAAATATACTTTGCGTGCCCGTAACTCATTTGGCCCCTGGCTCGTCCACTAAGCACAACCCCTAGGAAAGCTTTCTCTCTGTTTCTTCTTCTTATTCCTTTTCTCTTGCCTTGAATCGCGCACTCGAGTGGGTTTCTGTAAATGCTTCTTCGTGTGTGAAGTATATTATATATACGAGATTCTAGGAGAGGGTTTGGAAGGAAGGAAGGAAAGCTGGGAAAGGCAGGAGATATAAGGTTGGAGGGGCTTTTCGGGTGTATCAATGAAATCACAACGGCTCTGGCCTTCTCTTCTAGGATGACCTCCGACTCCGCCTATCGGGTCCAAACCACTTCGCGCCTCGCGCAATGGCGGATCGACAATCTCTCCTCCTGCACTTACCGCAAGTCTGATCCTTTCAAAATAGGTTTATGGAATTGGTCAGTCATCTCTGCTTCTTCGCACTCCCCCATTTTTACTGCTTCGCTGATCGGATGTCGTGAATGTGATTGTTCTATTCAATTCTAGTGAAAATACACATCATTCTTGACAGTAGATTAATTTTAATCGTTTGCAAAGTTCTAAAAGTGATCTAGTAAGTTTATTGTGATTATCTTAGTAGAATTGAACTTTCTGCATGACATAACAGTTGAAATGAATCGTTGATCCTAATAAGAGAGAAAAAATTGCAACCATTGGATTATATTTTGGCGCACAAAAAAAATATGCCATCAGGCATTTTGTACTGGGGATTTATAAGAATAGTCGTGGAGAGGGGGTTCTTATAAGATTAAGAAGAATTGAACTATCAAGAAATATGTTGATAGTACAGCTGTACAGAGATCATTTTGCAATTGAGGCAAATGATGAGCTACCAGGATTCCGTCCTTTTAACAGTGTGAGAAAGATAGTCTGCTCTAGTTTGTAGAGATTTCATATCCTGAGTATAGGTTTGAGCTATTTGTCATTAGTTCCTTTGGAAATTAGAATAGAAACTAGGGACTCGGACTCCACAATGAAGTTTAAATAAGCTGCATTAGCAGCCTAGTCTGCTGCTCCATCCATTGCATACAGTCCTGCATTAGGAACAAATTTAGCCTTTAAGAGAATCTGAAGTGCAAAAGTTAGCTTCCCTGTTGGATTTCTCATTATAGCTCCTCCTCTCATATGATTGGCTTTATATGATGCATCCATATTTAGTTTGATTTCAGAAGCAGGCCTGATCTGTGTGTGTTTCTGCAACGTGTAGCAAATTAATATTCTTCCTTTAACATGAGACCAGTATTGCAGTTTTTTATATAAACATTAAAATGAGAAGCAAGGGTCAAGCACGCCTTAAAATTTTTTTAGAGAGAATAAATTTGCATGGCTGTGATATGAGGCAAACCTGACAAGCCCCTAATCCGAGCCCAAAACAGCTTTAGTTACAATAGGACACACACACACACATATATATTTTCTTTGTATATACTCCGTTTATAATGTGATATTATACTACTGATTAGTACTTCTTTCTTTTTTAGTTGCAACATTCCTTTTTTTACGCTTGCCAATGCATAACTTTGATCGTCATTATATTTAATTCTCTATTGGTAAAAAACTTTTAAAAATCAGATTACGAAACTTTGTAATGAGACGAATTCAACAATATTTTTCAAAAAAAAATAATGCACATACATTAATAAATAATTCAAAGATTCATTATTTTTTGGCTTGAGAATATGATTGAATAACGCAAAATGGCTCACTAAACTGTCTGCGATTCTTTGTTATGAAGCAGCAGTCAGTCCATGCAATTTTGGATGCGATTTTCACTATGGGTCATCCGGAAACAGTCTTTGTGCTTTAGTACAGGGGTAAGACTGCGTACATCCGACCCCCCTTACCCCACCGTAGGTGGGAGCCTTTGCGTCACTAGGGTAAATGAAAATGATGAAAATGATTATTAATAAATAAAATGTGGTCAAAGTAGAGTACATGAATAGTGTGTAAATTTCAATGTTGCAACTATTACGATAAGGAGGATAGTATTTATTTTTAATACTTTATTTTGTTGTAAATCCCGAATTCTGCGTAGTTGTACAGGCCCAACCTTAAGAACTACGGAGTACTTTTTAAGTGTCCTTTTTTCATTCTCAAGTTCAGTTGTGATGATTTGCTAATAATTGAAAGAGACATTGTTATTTGTGTTGAAGGCATTTAGTAGTTGAGAAGAACAGAACATTGATCATTAAAGTGTACCCCGAGATTTCAAATCTGACAAGGGATAGCCCTCCTATAGCATCATTTATCATTAGAGCAATCTCGTCCTTCGGTGATCGCAAGACTTTGGTTCACCCGGGTACCTGATTTTTTCCCTCTTGTTTAATTTTTAGTTTTGTGGGTTTTAATTCTTCCTCTTTTGGATTTCCCCTCATGATTATGGGGTTTAATTTTGACAATGGTTTCAATGCAGAAGTTGTAGACAAGCAACTTAAGACCAGTGAAGACTTCGTTTGGGCAATTGAACTTCCAGCTCCTGGCAAATTCATCATTGACATTGAGTTTCTTGATCTGAAGATCACCTCTCCAAAGGTATTTTCTTTATCCAAACACAGCCATAATGATTTAGAATATGCCATTTCATGTGTCTTAAGATAAATGGGTGGTAATCCTTAACTCTTCTCTTGAAGTTATTTACTTGAAGCATATTAAAGCCTTATTGGATTTGAGATCTAGTCTGTTAAGTCATCTCACATTCTCACATCGGTCAATATTCAAAAAATATAAATCTAGATGTAATGCTCTGGTTATCAAATACGAAGTATTATATATTTGATTATTGAATATTCTTCCATTATTATATAAAAATGCTGAACAGACAAGAGAGCTTTGCTCAATCTGGGCTGAAGGCTTCACAGAGAAAGAGACTAATGCGAGTGCATTAATATCACTGGGCCGGATGTTGTCTGAAAGGATCCACACTGACATTCAAATCAACACCGCAGATGGGAGCATTGCAGCCCATCGAGCCGTTCTTGCAGCCAGGTCACCTGTATTCCGAAGCATGTTCTCACATGATCTCAAGGAGAAAGAGCTGTCTGAGGTGGACATCTCTGATATGTCGGGGGAAGCTTGCCGGGCTCTTCTTGGCTACATATATGGGAGCATACAGAACGGGGAGTTCTTAACCCATCGATTAGCTCTCCTTCGGGCAGCTGACAAGTATGACATTGGGGACTTGAAGGAGACGTGCCATCGAAGTCTAATGCAAGACATAGACACCAATAACGTCCTTGACAGGCTCCACAATGCCTCGCTTTATCAACTCCCGGAGCTGAAGGAAAGGTGTATGCAATATCTTGTGAAGTTTGGAAAGATATATGACATCTCAAATGACTTTAATGCTTTTCTTCAGTATGCAGACAGAGAGCTCGTCTCAGAAATTTTCCATGAAATTCTAGCTGTATGGAAAGGCTTCTGATCGAATTACTTCTATAGTTAGCATAACTATCCTGTTTTTAGCTGATAATAAAGAAAGGGAAAGTAGCAAGCAATTAATTGTGCATTTGTTATTACTGGTGTAGATGTTAATTGTCTTACAGCATTTTACAGCATTGTGCATCAGATGACATAATAGTATATTATATTATATCTCCTGAGTACGTATAACAATGAGAAATGCTGACGTGAATTGGAGAAATTAGATGAATGTTGGGGTACTAATTTAGAATTCCCTATAAAATATTCTTCTCATTTCCTTTAAAGAGTGCTTTGTAATATGTGATACCATTTCTTAATCTTCTCCAGAGTCCAGAACCACGAAATATTATTTGTATAAAAGATTTATACATTTTTAAAAAGAAGGTAGTTTTTAAAGTGATTTTAGAAAAAATGTTAATAACAAAATTTAGGTGTTTGAAAAATATTTTTGTTTGGAGAAGTAAAAATTGATAAAATATTGACACTCCATACAAAAAGTGTTTATTGTACAATAGAAAACTTAAAAACAATTTATATCCTCTCAAGTCTCAACTTGCTTTTGGCTTTTAATTTTCAATTTTCAAGTACTTAAATTAAACAAAAATTGTGAGATTAACACTCATTTTCATCTTTTTAAAAGTTTTTGCAAACACTCCCTTAGTCTCATTTAACTATTTTTATTCCTTCAATAGAACTAATTACTTTGAAAGCATAACCGGTCTTATTCATGAACTTCTTCCATGTTTTGCTCTTATTACGGTAGTTTCTTAATACTCATTAGGTTGTACACTTGTATCACTAAAAATATTATTATCCGTAATAAAAAAGAAAGAAAGCAGTGCCAACTGCTATAGCTTTCATTATCTGGTATGTTGATTCGAAGGAACTGGCCTCATCAGGACTTCAGGAGTACCAACACACTATTGCAATTTTACATTACCCATATGCCATATGGCATGGAGGGAAAATGGAGAAGTGTATAAATTAAATTTTCGTACCACCCAAACCTTATGAGTCTTGTAGGTCGCAAGGCTGTGTTTGAGCCTTACATGATATAAATGAAGAAAAATGTTGGTGAAATTCACATGTGACTCGGTCAACCACCAAAAAGATAGGCAGCTGCTGCTTCTTCATTGCCATTGAAAAACTTCAAAGCCTGTATGACTGCATCCTTTCCAAACCCCAGCTCAACAAGCTTGGCAACTTTCGCTTCAGAATAAGGTTCCTGTTAAACATAACAATCACAATCACATTCAGCTAACCTAATTTGTAATATAATCATAGAATACAGCCACTACAAATAAGAAATTCTGTTGTGCATTACCTCCGGTGCACCCCGACTAGAGCTCCCTGCACGCCGAAACAAAAACAATAATGTGAATTGCCACTCATCAAAACCAAATAAAAGATCACTAGGCCTAAGCAAATGTTACTATAGTTTGAATTGCCATCACCAACAATGTTGCAATTTTTTCAATGTTCATTTTTTCAAGTAAATTGTCATCTGATTGAGGAATAAAATTATTCGTCAATAACTTTATACTCATATCTGTTTGTTTTTTAATTTATCACTTTTTTTACAGAATGTCAGAATTAGTTGTCTTGTTTGCTTTTGCACACATATTAAGATACATAATAAGATAAGATACTGCCTCCGTCCCAAATTAATTGTCTTTGTGCTTTTGCTTTTGCTTTTGCTTTTGCACACATATTATGTAGATGAGAGTCCAGTAGAAAAAGGTGAAATGGTGAACCACATATTTTTGTCAAAAAAGAAACATGATAATTATTTTTGACAGATAAAGGAGAGCAGGACGACTATTTCAGGACAAGAGGGAGTAGTAATTCGAAAGAATGACCAAAATAAGACTGAACTATCAGATGGACAAAAATGAGACCTAATTTTAATCTGGACAAAAAAGAGACTAAATAAAATTGAACTAACATAAATGCCCCAATATAAATACTTAAAAATATCCCCAGATCTGCATTTCCTTCCTCTTTCCGTCTGACCCTTCTCCTCCCGCGTCATGGCCGCCGTACCCTAACCATCACTTCACCTCCGGCTACACTTCAGATGCTCCGGTGACGTAAGTTTCCAACAACGACGGTGTCCAACAGCAGCGGCTCCACAGTTTGTAAGGATGATTGCACATCTGGTCTCCTCCGTCACCTCTGGAGCTCCTCTCCTCCGACGCCTATTCCCGTCCCCGTCCCCATCGTCGGCTGAACCTCGTGATCTTCTGCTTATAATTTCTTATGTCCGCAAACAGAGGCTATATCTCCGAGCTAGATCCAGGTTGTCTTCTTCGCGACAAAATCATGGATTTTGGATTGGGGCGGCCAAAGTAGTCAAAAGCGAGCGCCTGGGCGCTTAAGCGCACCAGCCATATCGACTGAACAACAGCCGGGCGCAGCCGCGCAGCTCTCTGTGTAAGGTGCAGGTTAGGCGCAGAAGCGCTAAAGCACTAAAAAGTGCTCGCTATTCTTGCCTGAAGTGGAAACACACGTTTAAGCCTGATATTTAAGTTTCAGACTATTTTAAATAAGAATCCCATATTTTTAATATGATAAAGCCCATCAAAATACTTTGGTCATGGTCACTGGACAGTGACTTGATTTAAAGAGCATAAAGTCAGTTTAGTCTCATTTTTCAAAACGGGAAAAGAAGCTCTCTTTTGTCCATATCTCATATTTTAGTAATATTTTTGACAAAAACCCTAGTAATTAATATGTTTAAATATGCTTTTGTTCCTTGCAGATATAGCACTCTTTGTTTTAGATCTTTGCGAAACATTTTTATCATTCCTGTAATCTATACTATTTTCTTTTTAGTCCCTCTTGAACTTCAGGACTATATCCATTTAGGAAATAATTAATGTAGTGGCCGTTTGGAGGACCAAAAAATGGCTGAAAAGCCTTAAAAGGCCAAAAAAAATGCCAAACACTCATGAGATGGGCTGTTATGGCTTATTTTTATTTTCAGCCAAAAAAGCAAGCCATGACCTCCTTTTTCGGCTGAAAGTTATTATTGTACTGTTTGGGGAAGTAATTACTGATCTATCCTTCTTTTATTCTACCCGTGCTTCGTAATTCGTTTCACCAAAATTGTAGGTTATTGGCCTGGATGCATCTACGTACGTTTCTTGCTCCAGAACCAGAACTTCTATTTCAAATGTTTGATTATAAATAATTACCAAAACAACTCTTCAATATAACTAATAATTAGTTCTAAGATCTATAAATAAAGTGCAATACGTATAACGCTATAAGGGCTAAAATAATTTTGGTATTTTCAACGTAAGAGTAAGAGCAAATTTTCCAAAGTAATTAGATAATTAAGTAATCTTATAATCACCTAATTAAGCAAAAATAATTTGCTAACATAGTTCCTATCCATACATTTAACACAAATAAGCTTATACCCGTTATGGTAATTCTACATTCAATCAGCCATATCAGTCAATATATTACCAAACACTTTCACTTCTGCAAATTCAGTCTTTTCAGGCTTTTCAGCCGTTGCAGCCGTTGCCAAACAGGCCCGTAGATTGCACAAATCTACTTTTAACTTCTATTTATATAAGTTTCGAAGACTAATCGAGAAACTAAAATTAAGTGACACTAATCGTTCGCGTTTTTTTTAAGGTCTTGGCTTCTTTCTGGATATCTTTATAAAGTTTTTTAGAATATCTTGAAAAAGAAAGACATGAAACCTATTAACCTGTTTGGTGGCATTGTACAACGAAGGTTGGGGACTGAAAAGCAAAACAACATAAATTAGAGATGGGAAAATAAATGATATGAAGCAGGAAGAGCATGGGGTGGGACGGGCTTGAGACCACCTTTGTGGGCTGGCTGCGGGCAATTTAATTAATTTTAATTATTCCTTTTATTTTGTTTTCTAATTTATTTTGTTTCCTTGTATAATTTAATTAGGACTTCTATTCTCATTAGAATTAGAGGTTTACTATTTCTATTTAGTTTCCTAGAATGATTTAATTAGGACTTCTATTAGAATTAGAGGTTTCCTATTTCTATTTAGTTTCCTAGAATGATTTAATTAGGATTCCTATTCTTATTAGACCTAGAGGATTATTTATACCCCTTGTATGCTTCATTCTTGATCATCTTGGAATAAAATTGGTTTTAGCCTTTTGGCTCTAAGAACGATATTTTTATGGTTGATTATCTGGGCAACCGTTTACCCCGTTGATTTTATTTTTCTGTTCTTATCAATTGGTCCGACTTGCCGGATCCCGTCCCTCCAAGATGACGAGATCTCAGAACGATCGATTAACGGAGCTGGAGAACGAACAAACTCGCACAAGAGAGGAAGTGGCCCGACTGGGGGCTGAGCTGGCAGATCACGGTGCAAAGCTGACGAAAATTGCTGCCTCGTTGGCCGCGTTGACCCAGGCATTGGTGCCACCTGTTTCACAGGATTCTGCCGCGGCTGGGGTCGGCCGGATCGCGGAGACAGTGCCGCAGGTCGAAGGTGTGATGCGCAACCCAACTCCAATGTTACTACCGGCGTTCGATGGGGGAGACCCGATCGGGTGGATAGCTCGAGTGGAACAGCAGTTCGAATTACACGAAACCCTACCGGAAAAGGTGACTGACGCTGTGGTGTCCATGGAAGGTGGAGCGCTCTACTGGGTAACCTGGCTGAGATCACGCAAACCCGGTATAAGCTGGGAAGATTTCAAACAAGCCCTGGTGGCCAGATTTGATTCCCGATATTAGGGAAACAGGTTTGAACGACTATCCGAAGTCAAGCAAATTGGATTTGTGGATTACAATTTTTTTTGTTCAGCTAGCGAGCCAAGTTCCGGGATTAACTGACGATCATTACTTGGGCTATTACATGAGTGGGCTTAAGGAAACCATCTGAAGCTCATTGCGATTACTTCGGCCAAACAAACTGGAGATGGCTATGGAATTAGCTCGCGGGGTGAAGCATAATCTGTCCGTCCAAAGAGGAGAAAGTGGCAGTCTGAGAATTATCATTCTTCAGGAGTACGTTCTAGCATCCTTTCAATGGCAAACACAGGTTCCCCTTTGACTGCCATTGGTGGCAGCTTACAAGGTTCGGAGGGCAGCTTTGCGAAAGATAGTGGACAACCTCCGGGGACGAAGTCAGGGCTGTCTGGGCAGCCTACGACACGCTCTCAGTTCACTCAACTTCCGCCGAAAGAGTTTGCAGAATTGCGGGCGAAGTGATTATGCTTTAGGTGCAAGAAACCATTTACGCCGGGGCATGATTGTCCCTTTAAGCAGCTGCAGGTAATGATAGTTGAGGACGATGAAGAGTTAGACCTCAAGCAACTTGAATTCTGTGAAATAACCGGCCAGGAAAAGGTTCAGGAAAGAGAAGGATATTTTCATCCTTGAGGACAAGGTTAATCTGAAGGAGGATGGATTGATATGAAGCGGGAAGAGCATGGGGCGGGACGGGCTTGAGCCCACCTTTGTGGGCTGGCTGCAAGCAATTTAATTAATTTTAATTATTCCTTTTATTTTGTTTCCTAGTATAATTTAATTAGGACTTCTATTCTTATTAGAATTAGAGGTTTCCTATTTCTATTTATTTTCCTAGAATGATTTAATTAGGACTTTTATTAGAACTAGGGGTTTCCTATTCTATTTAGTTTCCTATTATGATTTAATTAGGATTCCTATTCTTATTAGACCTAGAGGATTATTTATACCCCTTGTATGCTTCATTCTTGATCATCTTGGAAAAAAAATTGTTTTAGTCAGTTAGTCTTTTGGCTCTGGACAACGATCGTTGATTATCTGGGCAACGGTTTACCCTGTTGATTTTATTTTCTGTTCTTATCAAAAAATTGAAGAGACAACCGAAAGCACTACATTTGAAGGGACTAAAAATATAGTTAAGCCTAATTAATATTTCCACATTGATTTTTAAAAGAGTAAAAATGATATTTGTAATGTTTTACACGTCATTTAGCCCTTATGGAAAGCTTTGAAATGGTAAAAACATTGACTAGCATTTCTTCCATGTTGTTTACCACAGCAATTCAATTTTGTTAAGCCTTTTAAAATGGACATTTGGGTGATCAATTTACAAAGCTAAGGGCTCAATAGAAAACAATCCTGAAAAATTATAGGGCCTGGGGATTGAGGTTTCATTTGAATAACTCCAGCTATATTGTGCCGATTTCATGAGATCTATCGCGTTAGTTAATTGTCAATTTGTCATGATCATACATTTTTTGCTACATGTCTTGAAAATACTATTGAGTTGAGTTACATGCTATACTGCTATATACCTCATGAAGCTTTTTAACTTCAAAGAGGGAGTCCAAAGGAAAGAAATTGCATAAACGAGTAGTAACAATTATGGAACATAACTTTAAAAAATTACCTGAAGGAGCTCCTGTAGACAAATTACTGTTCTCCTTGGGTCGAAGAGGTTCCTTGGCATTAAAAGACGGAAAAAATAAGTTCAGATAACAACAAATACATCAGAGAAAACCTGTTGAACTTAGTTAACTACAATGAGAATATGAGATGGAAATCCATATCACATGCCTAAATGGAAGACTTAACTCAAGTTATCTACTGTTCAGGGAAAATATATATAGAAAGTAAGTGGAAAAAGTTGAGCGGTGTTAACCAATGAATACTATGTATATGTAGAACATTAGTACACCTTAGGCTCTTAACAAACACACCAGCAAACCAACAGCATATGCATAGTTCACCTTGACATACAGATCATTTATTTTGTGTCATTGCTGCCTCCTTTGTTAACCTATATGTATTTGTAGGCTCACTTTAGGTTCAGAAGAGTAAATAAAAAGGAGACTGTCGGGGCACAAACTTTGCTTCTTTTACAAATTTTACTTTGCTTCTTTTCTCATATCTCATAATAATATAGAGAAAGCATTCACATGCAGGTGCATGGTCAGGCAGTGATATAGAAGCTGCGGCACGTGTGGACGGTTCTGGCAATGGACTTTCTAGCAATTGGTTGTGGACTTCTGATTAAGATGGAGTGTTAGTTTACCGAGAATCTTATACGAAATAGTCAGCACATCAATGTAATGTATCTGGATACGAATTGGCCACCACTACACTGACCACCACCACCCATCACCATTTTGCTGCCACTATAACTTTTGAAAATCATAAAACTTTTGCAAATGGGCCCGCAATCTGCTATTTTAAAGTGCAGTATATAGTCAAATGGATATGAGCACTAAATGTAATTTCTACCACTCCGGGTGACATACCTATCATCCAATCCCACTTTTTACTGTGCCTTACTGCTCAGGCCACCCAACTAGCACATGTGAGTATGTGACTGCTCTTTGCTTCTCCTGTCTTTCTCACTCCAGATGTGGATCATCATCATCATTTCATTTCTAGTTTTCTTTTCTTTCTCTGTTTCTAACTTGATCAGGAGTCAGGAGTCAGGACTCCTTGTTCTAGGCTGTTAGCCATGAGTACAAGACAGCCTCTATATCTCGTGTTCTTTTATGTGACGAAGTGAGAATGGGAGTTGGGAATAAGCAAATCTTCAAGTGTCATTTTGTGAAACGATCATACTCAGTTCTTGAAATTTGTTTCTTGAAGTTGATCATCAGGCTTACCCAAAATAAGCAATTAAGAATTGGTGAATTTATTTGTCAGTTATTTCACTTTGAAGTATTTGCATCATTAATCAGAAATCGCTTTTAGAATTTGTTTTTATGATTACTTGAGAAAGTCGACTACACCACTACGACTACACCACTACGAGATATGGGCCAAACTCTCCAGTCTCCACTAGGATTAAGCACAATCACATTTAAAAAAATGGATTTTTTTGTCATAAAACACTAAGAATTTGATTTTGGAATATGAACCAAACTTGATAAAATGATAAACTGAAAGATAATTGAGCGACTCTGTATTGTACCAGAGCAATAGACTGTCACATAAGAAAGATCCAGAAATTTGCAATATCACCAATCATCACAATCATTACAAATTTGTTGCCGCCATCCCGACCAACTATTTGCCACCAGAATGCTTGCAGTGCTCCCACTCTACCTCTGTTTGTGACTTCGTGTTTTTCTTATTTCCAACTTCTGACCACAACCAGAAATGAAAAGGGAAAGTTCCCGAAATAAGAGTAAATAGGTTTTGGAATTCCAAAATAGAACTGCTATGTTTTCGTGAGGTGACACGATTATTAAGAAAAGTGAGTTTATGTGATTGATATTGAATTGATAAAGTAAGAATGGTTTAGAGCCACACAAACTTTACCAAATTTGGTATGAGACAATCTTAGTGGGACTCCCTGAAAAGGAAAAATGGGATAATCTTAGCGGGACGGAGGGAGTAGAATAATAGAAGCCTCCTTTTGCAATCCCTATTCCTTTCCATCCATGCAGCCATAGATCGGGCAGTGATCAGCCATAACAGTATCATCTACTTTCCTATCCTTCCAGATGTACTCATGAGCCTAGGATTAAGGCTCTAATACCACATTGAAACTAAAGGTTCGTAAGGCCCCGCGAGTGGCAATTGGCAAATAGCCCCACCTGCTAGTTTGCAAAAGCAAGTATGTAGATAGAGCTAGGGCTACACTAGGATTTTGATTTTCTATACCTCATTACTAACTTGCAGACAGTGGCCTCTGAAATGTCACAGCTCCAAAATTTTAAAACCGGTGATTTGACACACAGATCATGAAAGGAATTACGGTCTATTTATCCAGATCACAAGGAGTGCATAAGAAGAGGCCGACTGAAAACTAGACTTGCCATATACACAAAATAATTCCTTGTCCATTTAAACAGACTAGGAGTGCATTTAAAAAACAGACAGCAAAGAGGAAGAGGAAGAAATTTCAACTGCTCAAACTGATCCCATTAAAACAAAATGACAGAGAGAAAGGAGAGGCAGAGAGGGAGTGTGGAGCATGCATACTTGTGAACTGGAAGCAGAAAGCTCCTTGGCATGATTCTCTTCATCCAAAAACTGAGACGGAATATCCTTCTCTATAAAATAAAAACCATGGTTGATCATAAGTGATTCAGAAAAGTATTTCAGTTCTCTGAAAGGCCATAGAACTATTTCTGAGATGTTGCCGAAATGGAAAAAGAAAAGTGATGGGCACAAAACAAACCATGTAGAAAAGGTGCTGCGACTTCCCCTCCACCCACTCGAAGGACATTGTCTTTCAGATCAATCATGCACTTTATTGATGTTCAATTAATTTAGTCTTCATTGAATCAGTCAAACAGTATAATAGTTCACACTAGGAGGAGAGAGTAGTAGTTACCTGATGTTTACGAAGCATGTCAAGTCCAAATAAAAATTCCATATTTGGTGAATCCAGAACCAGAAATGAGCAGGGATAAAATACTGCCCCAATCTGCCAGAGTTCATTCAAGCAGACAATCACTGTGTGCATATATATATGTACCACATACTTTCTTATGATTATTATGCATCTTCACAAATAAACAGGACTTAAATTCTTTTCACATCATTATTGCTATAAAAACATCAATACTTTTTTTGGGACCCGGTGGCAGACTCAGTTAAAAACATCAATGGATTCTACCAGCAAAGCATAAAGGAAAATCAAAAATGTTATTGGATTGCAGAGAACATTAAACACGCGTAACTGGAGACTAGTTGCTGCATTAGTTACTTCACTTTGGAAAAGTCATAAAAAACCAGCCTACTAGTCTCCACCCTTCTAATACACACAATCTCACGGACTATGAAACTGTTTGAAAATGTTTCAAACCTTGATCGGAGCAACGTGAATTCGACCAAGTATCTCAGATTGGCCAACACCACGAGCAATGCCTCTATAGCGTGTATCTAAGAGTCTTAACAATCTGTAAAATAACATGTAAACTATATTTAAGATAAAAGCAGCAGCATTCAAGATCAAATCATCACTTTCATCTTATCAGAACATACGTCAACTGATCAAATTAAAAATAAAAAAGTTAATAACTATTTTCTTGGAATGCAATACATACTCTCTTTCTCCCTAAATGAAATCCCATCTTGACCGAGCACAATGTTCAAAAAGATTAAACTTGCCTGGTTAGATTTATTCAGAAGAGGGACAAAAATATGAACCACATTCTACCATACTTAAAATGAAGTGAATGATAATTTCGGGTCAAAATAAAAGCAAAAGTGTAAACATTATATGGGGCTAAAAGTAGTAGTTAAAGGTAGGCATACAATTTCTCGTAAAACTCATTGTCTCATCAAAGGCTCATCATCATCATCATTACCCCAGTGCCACAAAGGCTTCCCACCTACGGTGGGGTAAGGAGGGTAGGATGTACACAGTCTTAACCCTATACAGAGAGATTGTTTCCGGATGACCCACGTGAAAATCGCGACGAAAATTGCATGGAATGACTCTTGCTTCACAACATTTTAGTGAGCCACTTTGCCTTATTTCATCATATTCCCAAGCCAAAAAATAGCGAGTCTTTGGCTGCATTGTAAATGATGGAATGTCTCATCAAAGGCTCATCATCATCATTATCATTACCCCAGTGCCGCAAAGGATCCCACCCACAGTGGGGTAAGGCAGGGTTGGATTTACGCAACCTTACCCTTGTACTAAAGCAAGGAGAGATTGTTTCTGGATGACCCATAGTGATAATCGCGTCGAAAATTGCATGGACTGATTGTTGCTTCATAACAAAGAAGCGCAGACTGTTTGTTGAGCCATTTTGTTTTATTCCATCATATTCCCAAGACAAAAAAATAGTGGGCCTTTGTCTCATCAAAGGCTATAGATGAAAAGGTCTAAAAAAAAAAAGAAATCAACTCTTCTCGATGGATGGATAGATGAGGGCTTGGGCGCATACAAGAGAAGCCCAAATGATGATGTTTTAATGGTATTCTATTGGGTGTTAATTAAGATTACAGAAGTCTCTACTCAATCGCTGTCTACCAGACTTCTATAAAGTCCTACTTGATTGCTTGCTTTTCTATTTGATTGATTCTCATAAAATAGCAACTAACTTTCATTTATCATCAACTTATTGTGATTCTTATACGCATAAATGAATTATAAGAAGTTCTCAAGTACCATTCCCTTATATAAAAACTACTCATTTTCATTTTTTAGGTTGTCCCAAAGTTAACGTTTCATTCACTTTTATGGAAATAATAATTTTTGGTTGATATTGTTGCTTTCACTTCTATTAAATCTAATAACACAATTTATTTTCTTATTTTGATTTCCAAAAGCAAATGAGAATCTTACTTTGGCACAGAGAGAGTATAATTTCCTATAATGCTTACCTATAAGCCCAATTTAGCTTTTTTAACACTTGGTTTTTGGAGTGTTCAAGTTTTTTAAAATTAAAAGTGATGAATCAAATAGAGGACATAAATCGAAATCTTAATCACATCCTATTGTGGGTGAATTAATGGTAATTGGGCTAGGGTTAGTAGCAAATTAAACACATAAAATTGAACTACAATTAGAAACATTCCCATACATGGACTACAATTAGTTGAAGTCTTGGATCCATTTCCGAGAAGACAAAAGGCCAAACCATGGATTATTTCTTTGATGGCCTTATGGTGATATATAATTCGATGAAAGAGATATCGATTTCCAAATTTGGGCTCATTTCAAGATATGAGCATGACAATAAGATAACTATTGAAGCAAAAAAACAAGAAGATGCCAAGAGGCTCAATAGCTTTCACGGTTTCACCATGAGGCCAAACACAAGTTTGACTAATACGTGGGGATGATCATTTAGTTCTACAGTGTTAAGCTTGCCTTGAGGCCTCCTAGCACAAAAGTCGTCTCTTTTTGTCAATCATAATTTTTGGGAATAGGGGTGTCATTTTGCTTATTAATGCCATATTTTGACAGTCTTCCCGTTTTCTTAGTTTGCCCGATTTGTGTTCTATAAGTAAGCCTAAAAAAGAATGTTATGCAATTTTAGTTATGCAATTTTGGTTATGCAATTCTAGTCAGATGAATTGTAACTGTGACTTGGATTTTCTCATTCAATGGCTTAGGGTTTCCAGTAAGGCACTTCAGATTTCATGTGACTATGGTGCTTTAATCACGACAAGTCTAACTTGAGTTGATGAAACTATGTTTGGTTTATATACAATCATCATGTAGATGATTATGCTAATATGCTTGGTAGTCAAGATTAAAGTAAACTTATTGTAATGGGAATGGATATGTCATTCAGAAAGGAACAAAAAAGTACCATACCCACATCGTTCAGCACAACTTTTTGATATAATTGTTGACTGAGCTCCACTATCAACGAAGGCCTGAAAAAATTGTAAAAGAAAACCCACTCTGTTTGAGGCAACAACTAAATAATACATAAGCTCCAAGGAACTCAATTAGATATTTCAGAAGCACCCGGCCACAATATTATAGCATTTTTGAAGTGAACTAAAATGAAGAAATAAAGTCAATTCAGTAACAGTAAGAAACAACAAAACAATTTTTAATAAGCGGGCACTCGGGCAGTTTCAAACTACATTCTTTTCCAATCCACTCAACAGCACACTCAAGCTGACTAGTACCTAATTCAGCACAACAAACCTAGAATAGAAGAAGATTTGGTAGACAGTAACCACTACATAAATGAACTTCCAATTTTCTTTTTTGGATGGTCCCAAATTTAACTTCTCATTTCCTTTTGAGAAAATCGATACGAGGTTGATGTTGTTTTTATAGTTCCTAAATAAATTTCAACCACACAAATTCACTTTCTTAACTCCCATGGCAACAGCAAGTAGGAAGTTTATTATGGAACAGATCGAGAATCAGGAAGTGAAAAATAAAACAAACTAATTAACCTCAGAACTCCGGAAAGACCAAAAAAATTCTTCTTTCCTGATTAGGCAAGTAATATTCATTAAAAACTCAATAGGTTAAGCTTGTTTGTAAAAAGAACCACTGAAGCAAGCAGAGTGATAGGAACCCAACTACTAGTCTAGCTAATGGGGGTAGATTTGGGCAAGTGTACTCGAGAAGGCCTAAAATAGACTAGTCTTAGTATTAGTTAAAGCTGTTAGTAACTAATAACCACTTTCCTTTTAGGGAAGGTTATAAATAGTAAGTCTGGCTGCGGGTTTGGCAGGCTTGTTCAGACTCAATGTCTTGAGTGGGAAGTTAGAGTTCTATCTCTGTCTTTGGGACATGTTTGTAATCCTTTTTCGGCCATTAATAAAATCTTCTTTGTTGAGTTGAGATTCTAGTTTCTGTTGTTGATTTGTGTTCGATAGTTTCCTATCAGTGGTATCAGAGACTCGTCGAGACTGTGAATGGTTGGAACGAGGAAGAAGATGGAAGGAAGAGTGACTGAGATCGAGTGGAACATGGACAGGAATCAGCAGGAGACGAATGCGAGGTTTGAAGAACTAATCGCAAGGATGCAGGCTGGGTTCGCTGAGATTAAGGATCAAAAGCACGATCGATCGAGGAGTAGATCACACCACTCCACGACTTCGCATCACACAGTTCATCATTATCGACATACGAAGAGCAGTGACACTTCGGAGGGATCGGATCATAACTCCGATCATTCAGTGTCACATAGTCATCGCGATGAACATCGCAATCGCAAACGTCGACATCCAGCGGGAAGGAAGATAGATTTACCTGTTTTTAATGGCAAGGATGTATTCGGATGGCTCGTAAGGATGAATAGATATTTCCGGTTGAACCGGATACACGAGGATGATAAAATTGATGTGGCTGTAGTATCAATGGAAGATCAGGCATTGAGTTGGTTTCAGTGGTGGGAAGGACAAGCTCCCCGCCAGAACTGGAAAACTTTTACCAAAGCTATGGCCAAACGTTTTCAACCGGACATGGTGCAGGATCCACTAGGGCCTTTGTTCAGTCTGAAACAGAAAGGCACTACTCTAGAATACAGAGATCAATTTGAAACGGCCATGGCTCTTCAAGGTCACCTGACGGAGGAAGTTTTGAGGAGTATATTTCTTAAAGGATTGAGGCGAGACATTAGGGCTGAACTGAAACTTTACTCGGCAAAATCCTTAGCAAAAGTCATGGATCTAGCCACATTAATTGAGAATAAGAATGTGGAAACCCTGATTGTCAGAAACAAGGATGAAGGAAGGAAGAGAACACAATATAAATCTCAGAATTGGGGAGATGGAAAGAATTGGAAGGTTAACCAGGGAAATACTTTCAGCACAATCAAAGGGGTGGAGGACAGTAAGGTTAACAAGGATGTTAAGGAACAACACAGCAGTAGAAGTGGTCCCAGACTATCTCAAGAAGAGTTATTAGACAGAAGTAAGAAGGGATTGTGTTTCAAGTCTGGAGATAAGTGGGGAAAGGGGCATGTGTGCAGCATGAGGAATTATAAAATGGTTTTAGTGGAAAATTCTGAAGGTGAGGAAGAGTCTGATATGGAGTATGGGAGTTCTGAGGGGGATCAACCAGATTCTTCCAATCAGAGGGATTCTAGGACTCTGCAACTGTCAATATTAAGCAAGGAAGGAATGATAGGGCCCTAGGCTGTAGAGAATAATGATAATAATAGTGATAGATTGTTATTAAATAAGTTTGGTATTGTATAAATAAGTATTCTGGGCCATGACATATAATATGGGCTGGCCCGTTAGAATATAGTACTATAAGAGATGGAAGGAAGGGAGGAAAGTGGTAGGCAGAATTTTAGACTTGGGCTGGGAATTCTGGGAGAGATAGGCTGCTCGAAGTGCCTAAACCTGTATCGTTTCATATTCCTGTTCATCAATTACGTTCCTAATAAACAACAATTTCCCTCCTTCGATCCTGGTATCTATCATTGGTATCAGAGCATTACGTTTCTGGTGATCGCAACGGTAATCGGAAAAGTGACGCAATCCAGAAATTTTTTTGTTCGAAGCTGTGAATGGTTCGGACTAGGGCCAAAATGGAACAGAGGATTGAAGCGGTTGAACGCAGTCAGGTAGCGATGAAAGAAAGGTTGCTGCGATTGGAAGCTAAGATGGGAACGATGATGAAACGATTGACAGGGAGGATGGAAGCTATGAGAGAGCGAGGGAAATCGCGATCTCATCATCACCATAATTCGCGGTCGTCATCAACTTCTACCAGATTGTCGTTGCCAGCTGCGCAGGTTTATTCTCAATCGCGAGAAACTCTCCCGTTCTAAGGCTTTGTCGCGAACAGTTTATCCTCAATCATCTCCATCGCAAGTCTTTTCTCCCAGTTCATCCCTAAGTGCGACGCGACAGAGAGGAAAAGCTTCGCAGTCGCAGTCGCTAACGACTTCACCCAGTTCGCAATCGCGAACCTCATCTTCCACTTTGCAGTCGCGACCTCCTTCTCACAAGTCACAATCGCAACCTGTTTCTACTTGTTCGCAGAAGGCATCTCAAGCCGCTCCTCACAGTTCACAGACTTCGTCCCTATCAGTGATGAGTTCACAAGTTTCTTCTCAATCGCTAGCAACTCCTTCCAGCCCTCTGGATGCGTCGTGAGAAGATACTGTCAATTCGCAGGCTACATCAAATGAGCAGGTGTCCATTACTAAACATCATATCAGCCCAGGAAAGGAGATTGACGTGCATCTATCAATTTGTGCTTATGGCTTGGTACCGCAGAATAAATTTAATATTGGGTGTTTAATTTGGATTGTATTCCAGAAGCAAGGCTACAGATGACAGGAGATTAGAAACTTCTGATGTCCAAAGGTATGCTAGTGCCTTAGACCAAAACTCAGAAGCATTTAAATTTTTGGTTGATATAGGTTATGAACCTGAATTGGGTGTTTTAATGGATATTGGGCTCAGTCATGCATCAAATCTGACTTGGGAGGGGCTGAATAAGATTGATGGTTTCAGATTTGATAGTGATACTTGTATGAAGTATATTCAAAATGGAATGGGGATTATACTTGCTGGGAATTATAAGAAATATGTTGGTATACTTGGTTATACACTGCCTGTTGACTGCCAGACTATAAGGGATGGGCTTCCAAAGCTTAAATTACTCTATACGGATTGCGTGTCTATGTTGAAATATGATGCCGGGAAAAGGCAATTGCCTGACTATGTTTCTCCTACTCTTGCAGCCAACTTGGATTTAATGCTCAGCCGAGTATCTATTGTTGGTTTGCTTCTTCACCCATGTTCATTTGGAAGCAGAATCTTAATTGCGTATGAAATGGAAGATACTGTCAGTCATAGGTCAATGGGGGTAGTGTCAAGGGGGGTTACAGTTTCTTCTAGTTCAGGACTCCCGGAAGAGCAGATTCAGGTTGAGGAGAATGTTGGTGTTCATGACAGGAACACAAATTTTGCTAGGGGTGATAATGGATTTACTCAAAACAATGCTTCTCAAGAGACTAAAGCAACTATACCATTCATAAAGTTTCCGTCCGTTGAGCGTATCCTTCCTATTGATGAGGCTGTCTGGGCTTTGCGAATTATTGCTAGTGATGCTCCAATATATGGAGACCTTGTTCTTGGTCAGGCTGCACTCTTACAATTGCTAGATCAGCTCAATGAGCAAGTGGTAGCCATAAAGGAAACTGCTGGGATTTTATACTTCAATGGCACTTCCGATAGCTCCTGGGAGTCTCACCTTTATTGTTCGAAACTGTTTCATGAGTTTGGTGCGGTTAACACTTTTAAGAATCGGGAAACCAATATGTTCATGCTTATTCTGCCCGAAGTTCATCAGGATCCGGTCCCTGAAGCTTGTTCTGTTGCCGCAAGAGCTACTGGCTCTCTTATAAGGGAAAGGAAAGAAGAAAAATTCCTAGAATTGGGACTTTGGTGGTTAGATAATCTGAAACCGCATGACAGCACTGCTGTGCACAAATGCTGTCGGTTGTTGAAATTTTATGAGACAAATCCTGCTATTACAAATCATGATGTCATTGATACTAGCTGCCGTAGAGAAAAGTGGATGAAAAATGGAGAACTTTGCATAGAGCTTGTTGCAGACATGGAATTGAGTAACATTAAATCTGCATCCAGCACATTGATAGTCTCAGAAGCTATAATCCTTGAGGAGTTTCAGGAAAACAGGGAAACACTTGTAGCTAGTGAGTGCTTGAAGTCTACTGCATCAAATGAAACTGCACTCGACATATCTTCTGCAGCAGCAGCATTTGTGATTTTGAAGGAACAAGTACTGAAGCTTCTGGTTCAGCAATCTGGGAGATACTGGGAAGGAAGAGGCTCCAGGATGAAGATGAAGTTCAAGATCAAGGTTGTATCATATCACCCACCTTGAGGACAAGGTGGTTTTTCAAGGGGGGAGATATGATAGGGCCCTAGGCTGTAGAGAATAATGATAATAATAGTGATAGATTGTTATTAAATAAGTTTGGTATTGTATAAATAAGTATTCTGGGCCATGACATATAATATGGGCTGGCCCGTTAGAATATAGTACTATAAGAGATGGAAGGAAGGGAGGAAAGTGGTAGGCAGAATTTTAGACTTGGGCTGGGAATTCTGGGAGAGATAGGCTGCTCGAAGTGCCTAAACCTGTATCGTTTCATATTCCTGTTCATCAATTACGTTCCTAATAAACAACAATTTCCCTCCTTCGATCCTGGTATCTATCAAGGAATTCCTTCCATGCAGACTTTCAGAGCAAAAGGCAAAGTTGAATGGCAGGGGAAGGAAATACTGGTGGATGTCTTAATTGACAGTGGTGCTACCCACAATTTCTTGTCACAGGAGCTAATGGATAAGTGGCTCATTCCTTATCATCCAATTCAAGGATATAAGGTACAAATAGGTAATGGAGAATGTATTCCTAATATGGGCAGATGCAATGGACTGAGGTTGAAGATTCAAGGCATTCCCATTCAGCAAACCTACTATCTACTAGGGTTGGAAGGGACTGATATAGTCCTAGGGATGGAATGGCTTACTGAGCTGGGTGACATGGAGGTGAACTTCAGAAATCAAGTCATTAGATGACAACAAGATGGAAGGAATTACATTATCAAAGGTGACACAGTATCCAATAATATGGAAGTTTCTATGAAGACCATGTTGAATATAGTGCACACACTGGTGAAGGCTACCTGATGGCTATGGAAGGAAGGATGGATAATCTGGGACATCAGGAAAATGTTAAGGAAAATTGGAGGAAGGTAATTGCTGAATTTCCTGAAGTTTTTACATCTGTTTTACCTTTTCCCCCTGCACAGGCTTGTGATCATGCTATCAAGATAAAAGGAGCACAGATTCCAAATCTCAGGCCATATAGGTATTCATTTGACCAAAAAAATGAAATAGAAAAAATTATTGAGGAAATGCTGAAATCTGGGATCATTAAGCATAGTAACAGCCCTTATAGTAGTCCTATTTTGTTAGCCAAGAAGAATGATGGGGGCTGGAGGTTCTGTGGGGACTATAGGGCATTAAATAAGGTTACTATACCTGATAAGTTTCCCATACCTGTGATAGAAGAGTTGCTGGATGAATTGGGAGGAGCAAGAATTTTTTCTAAATTAGATCTGAAGTCTGGTTATCACCAGATCAGAATGAAAGCTGAAGATGCTCATAAGACAGCTTTTAGGACCCATGAAGGTCACTACGAGTACCTAGTTATGCCCTTTGGGTTAACTAACGCTCCTTCCACCTTCCAATCACTTATGAATGAAGTTCTGAGACCTTACTTGAGGAAAATTGCATTGGTATTTTTTGATGATATCCTGGTTTTTAGTAAGACTGAGACAGATCATGAAGGGCATTTGAAATTGGTGTTGGAGGCCTTAAGGAAGAATCAATTGGTAGCAAACCTCAAGAAGTGTTCCTTTGGTCAAGAACAATTGAGTTATCTGGGGCACATCATATCAGCTAAGGGAGTTGCAGTTGATCCTGAAAAGATAATGGCTATGCAGAATTGGGCTGTTCCTAAGGATGTGAAAGAGCTTAGGGGATTTTTGGGCCTCACAGGATACTACAGGAGGTTTGTCAAAAGTTACAGCAAAATTGATGCACCTTTGACAAATTTATTAAAAAAAGATGGGTTCAAGTGGAATGAACATGCGACACAAGCTTTCCTTGATCTGAAACAAACCATGATGTCCTTACCTGTGTTGAGGGTTCCTGATTTCAACAAACTGTTTGTCATAGAGACTGATGCTTCTGGGAGGGGACTAGGTGCTGTGTTTATGCAGGATGGAGGCCCAATTGCTTATATGAGTAAAGAACTTTCACCCCAGCATCTCACCAAATCCATCTATGAAAAAGAACTTATGGCCATAGTATTTGCTATACAGAAGTAGAGACCAAATGAGCATTGTTTGAAGTGCATACAGATCAGAGGAACCTGAAATATTTAACTGAGCAAAAGGCAATGGGGGAAGATCAGCAGAGATGGATATCCAAGCTTTTGGGTTACAACTTTACAATTAGGTACAAACCGGGCATTGAAAATAAAGCCGCTGATGCTCTTTCAAGGAGGTCCATTTATGCAGCCTTATCAATAGTAACTTGTCATGAATGGGAGGGTTTGGCAGATGAATTACAGAAGGATCCTAAATGTGCAGAGATTTTGCAGAAGGTTATGACTCAACCAGAACAATACAAAGGGTACGGGTTCAAGGGAGGGCTACTATATTATAAAGGAAGGTTGGTGTTACCTAAAGGAAACTCCAGAATCGTATCTATCCTGAAAGAATACCATGACACAGCTGTGGGGGGTCATTCTGGGTATTTCAGGACTATGAAGAGAATATCCTCTCTATTCTTTTGGGTAGGGATGAAGGCAGACATTAAAGATTACATTCTGGGGTGTGACATTTGCCAGAGAAACAAGTATCAGCCTGCTAGGTTTCTGCAACCTTTACCTATACCAGATCAGATATGGACTGATATCAGCATGGATTTTATCGGTGGATTACCAAAATCTCATGGAAAGGATACCATTTTGGTAGTAGTTGATAGGCTAACCAAATTCTCACATTTCATACCCTTGGCACACCCGTTTAATGCCAAGAGTGTGGCAGAAATATTTGTTCAAGAGGTGGTTAAAACTCATGGATTTCCCAGATCAATTGTTAGTGACAGAGATAGCCTTTTCTTAAGCTCATTTTGGTCTGAAATGTTCAAATTAGCCGGGACGAAGCTCAAATATAGCACAGCCTACCATCCGGAAAGTGATGGACAAACTGAAGTGGTGAACAGATGTTTAGAAACATATCTCAGGTGTATATCTGGGGCAAAACCTAAGCAGTGGGTTAAATGGCTTCATCTCAGGTGTATATCTGGGGCAAAACCTAAGCAGTGGGTTAAATGGCTTCCCTGGGCTGAGTATTGGTTCAATACCAACTATCACAGTTCCTTGAAAAGTACTCCCTATCAAGCTCTGTTTGGTCAGGTACCTCCACCTATCATTAGGGGAGATGTGAGTTTAACTGCAGTTGAAGAGGTTGCCAGGTTAACTACTAAAAGGAATCAGATGTTGGATGAGTTGAAGGACAACCTAGCTAAAGCCCAGAATTTAATGAAGCAACAGGCCGATAAGCATAGAAGGGAAGTGAAGTTGGAAGTGGGGGACATGGTATTCCTAAAGATTCAGCCCTATAAGATGAGAAGTCTTGTGAAGAAAATCAATCAGAAACTCAGTCCAAGGTTCTATGGACCCTATGAGATTGTGGAAAAGTTGAATGAAGTAGCTTTCAGGCTTAAATTACCTCCAGGAAGTAGGGTACACCCTGTATTTCACATATCTCTACTAAAGAAGGTGCTAAAGCCTAACGCTATTTCTCAGGATCTTCCCACTTGCCTCACAGAAGAGTGTGAACTGCAAGTAAGCCCTGAAACTGTGAAGAAATGCAGAATTAATCAAGAAGGCAAGAAGGAGATACTGGTGCATTGGAAGAATCTCCCTGATTTTGAAGATTCTTGGGAAGAGGTGCAAGTCATTCAAGAGCAATTCCCAGAATTCCAACTTGAGGACAAGTTGGTTTTTCAAGGGGAGGGTATTGATAGGAACCCAACTACTAGTCTAGCTAATGGGGGTAGATTTGGGCAAGTGTACTCGAGAAGGCCTAAAATAGACTAGTCTTAGTATTAGTTAAAGCTGTTAGTAACTAATAACCACTTTCCTTTTAGGGAAGGTTATAAATAGTAAGTCTGGCTGCGGGTTTGGCAAGCTTGTTCAGACTCAATGTCTTGAGTGGGAAGTTAGAGTTCTATCTCTATCTTTGGGACATGTTTGTAATCCTTTTTCGGCCATTAATCCTATCACAGAGCCACTTTCCATATTCCATACCTTTAAAGGGACTCCATTGACTTCCATGTCTACATACAACATGACCTGAAAGAAAGAAAGAAAGAAACAATAAAAGTAATGAGTAATAACAATGCCAACACAAATAATAATACCCTCTCCGCCCCTAAAATAGGTTCCTGGTGTGACTCGGCAACCTTGTTAAAAAGATTGTGAAATTGTGTGGTTGAATGAAGCTATAAGCTTATTGCCGAACGGACGAAAAAAACAAATCCATATTCTTGGAGGGGGGTAATATAAATAACACTCTTTATTCCAATGTACAAGGGATTCTCAGATAGCAATGTTCCTTTTTTCTATAAATATGTATTAATTAGTCTCATTCTTTTCTATCTTTTTATCTTTTGTATTGTTCTTATGTTCTTTATCTTTTTTATCTTTATCTTGTCTTTTTATCTTACCTTATCTTTTCATCTTCTTTTTTTATCTTTTTTAGCTCCAATTTCATACTCCCTCCGTATTTATATGTTCTCTACAATAGCTTTTGGCACAATGTTTTGGGAGAAAATAGTAGGGGTAATGAATAGTGTAGAAAAAGTAAGAGAGAAGGTGGAAAAGTAGGAAAGAGGAGATAAAAAGTAGAAAAGGTAAGGGTAGTTGAGTATTTTTAAAGGAAAAACTTACCAAAAAGGGAAAGTGTAGCAAACTTTTAAATACATCCCAAAAAGGAAAGTGTGGCAAACTTTAAAATACGGAAGGAGTAAGTCAATTCATGTTAGCCAGCCTCAAACTCATTTGGGACTAAGGCTTGGATGTTGTTGTTGTATGTACCAATGTATGTACCAATAAGTATTATTTATGCATTATCACCCCCAATCGTAAAATCATGTGTCCATTACTGACCATGGGAACGACAACAAGTCAACAACAACAAAATAATAATAATAATAATAATAATAATAATAATGATAATAATAATAATAACAACAACAACAACAACAAAATTAAACAGTGACCCAAGTTATGCAACCATTCAATTTCACATACCACCCTTGCAAAAGCTTCAGGATTGTGCTCTAATGCAGCTTCCCAGTTCTCATCAATACCTTTCTGCATGTCACAAGATATCAATATGAGAACTGACATCAAAACCAATGAAATATATAGAAACAGAATACATGACTCAATAAATACTTTTTTTACAAGAAAGGTTAAATATTATTGATAACCAAGAGCCCAGAGAATACAGCCAGGAAACATCAATGAAATCTAAAGCTAGGCACGTTATTTTATCGTGGCCAACCAAACCATTTAACTCCTTATAATGTCAACGATACTCAAGCTCCTTGATTCACAGCCTTTCACGGCAAGATGGTCAGCTGGTTTGTTCGGATTTCAGAACATGTGGTTGAACTTGACCTCCATATTCATAAACATCCTGATTTTAGCAAACTCATATCCAGTCTCCAAAAAGTAAAAAATATATGCTTCCAAAGCATAGTTTAAAAGTACTGCTTAAATCTTTTTCATCCCACTAAACTGCTACTCCAGTTTTAAATGAAAGAAAGAGAACACTCCTCTGATCAGACAACACAGGTTTTTTTGCAGGAGGGTGTGATGCCTCCTACAAGGAAAGGATAAACCTATTAACAAAGTCTCTTAAAAGGTCTGAGAACTGCATACATTTGTAATAAGTTTGGTACATGTGATTTATAAGATGCTGATTGTTGATGTTGATTGAAGATTAGTTGTTGTGAAAGGTTAGGTTAAGGTCAAATAGGCTAGATTACAATATTATTCCTATATATGCATGTGTCTCAAATGTAATCAATACAATTCTTTCAACACACATTTCACAACCGTTCCGAGAAAAAATTACTTTGTATTGAATAATCACCCAATTCAGCAATGGAATTTTTCTGTACTTGAGCATGTCGTTCCAGATCTATTCCATGAACCTAGCGTGTTTGTTAATGCTAAAGCAAACGACTACCCAACAAGTAATTTTCTTCTGAAAGAAGAGTAAAAAAACATTTTTTATCATTTTCCATTTGCCATCAAAACACATTCATTTGACTGATAAAATTGTAAACCAAATCGCATAAATGACACCAAAACACGTAGGTGAGCAAATAACCGAAAAAACCGACGTAACCGATGACCGAACCAAAAAATCGGTTATCGGTCGGTTATCGGTTATTACTTGTGAAAATTATCAGTTATTCGGTTATTTAGCGGTTTTGAATGTTCAGTTTCGGTCGGTGACCGATAACCGATATTATAAGGCTATAATGATAACAAAATAGCCTCTTGAATATTAAAATAGGCCCAAACCAATTATAGCCCAGCGGCTCGGGCCCAAAGCTCTGAAGCGGCCAACCTTATTAGCGAAACAGTAACCCTAAATCGCTGAACCTCTGTTCTCTAGTCTCCCTTGCCTAAACTTCAGTGGCTGAACCTTACATCTCCAGAGTCCAGAAGCTAGCAAAGCGGAGAAACTAAGTGATTAATCTTTGCCTTATACGAAGAACCAAAGGTAATCCGAGTTCTCTTCTTAAATTCCTTATCCGAACTCATTTGCTCCAATCGCAGACCTCTCCAGCGAAGTGAAGTAGCAGAGCACCGGTCACATATTACCTCTACCCAAATGCTGTAATTAATGGTTATAATTAGAAGGTCTAAAAATCTTAAATACAGACACTGTTTTTATTCTTCTCAAGAAGGAATGAACGATAAGAGACTTCTTTATGCTGCTCCACTATGAAATGTTTGCTGAAATCAACTGCTGCTTAATTTGCTTTGCACAAAGTAGCTTTATTAGTTTAGCTATTACAGATTTACGCAAACATAAAATTTTATATGCTTGTATTATATAGAATTGAATGTACTTTTTTATAATTGAAGTGATTAATGTTGAGTATTTGATTAGCTCTCCATCGTTTCTTATTGCAGGAACTTTGTTATATAAACTAATAAAAGTATTGCAGCCTGGCAGGAATTATTATTTAATAATAGCAAGTATATACATTTAGTTTGCATCACGCATGTAATATTTGATTGTAATATGACAACAGATGTATGTCTTGATGCGAGCCCATGGACAATGGTAGAATGGTGATCGATTTACAATTTTGGATTTTGTATTTTTTATATTCTGGCTTTGTGCTAAATTATTAAAAGTTTTTTATATTAAAAAATTACTCTTACAAAATATCTAAGTTCGGTTATGGTTGGTTATTCGGTTACCGACCAAAACCGAACTGTCGGATTTTGGTCGGTTATGGTAATATAATCGGTCGATTTAAGTCGGTTATTAGAGCAAAAAGAGTTGATCGGTTATTCGGTTAGTGGTTGGTTATTTGACCAACCGACCGAATGCTAACCCCTAAAAACATGTAAGATAAAAGGCAGAAAAGAAACAATTACCTGTCGGATTGCTTCTTCTATTTTCTTTTGTGCCTCTATATCAAAGGGATCGGCATAAAGTAGTGCCTGGTTAAATAAAAAAATGAATAGATAAATAAATAACTAATTTGTCAGGTGATACAACTTTCTTACCAAAAACTGGATGCCAAGGAAATAAAATAAAGTTATATATATTTAAAAAATATTAAATCAAAACTGTATGAGGGGATATCAATACATGATATATCTACCATTTCCTCATCTTTCTTGCGAAGGAGCTCTGTTCTCTGCTTATGACGTAAACGAAGAATCTCTTGTAGCTTGTTGATATCATTCCCGAGAATACCTTGTGCTAGCTCAGGATCATTCTGTGGATTGCAAAATTTTGCATGGTATGAGTATGTGACTCCTACCCATTTTATGATTCCGCAAAATAAAGAAGACATTTAGCCTCGAGGTGTGTACATATAGCCCATAAAGGTCCAACCATCCAAATACCCGTCTCAATATTAGGCACTACTACAACTACATATATTGGTTTACATGTTTTGAATTCCACTCGTTCTACATGAATGTAATGATGGAAGGGGGCATGATAACAGCAACAGAACCAAGAGCAAACTAGTTCAAAACTATAGGGAACTTATTCCCAACCAGAATAGGTTATACTATAGGGAAGTTATTCCCAACCAGCATAGGTTATATATCTATTAATACAGTTGGCTGCACTAAACGCACCTGATGATTACCCAGGATAGGTTATACTATAGGGAAGTTATTCCCAACCAGCATAGGTTATATATCTATTAATACAGTTGGCTACACTAAACGCACCTGATTATTACTTTTAAGTTTCACAAGGAAAAATTAAAATGAACCCACCTGGAACAGTTGAGCTACCAAATTGGAATCATTCCGCAAATGTTGTTGGAATGCTGAAGGGTTCACTGCAGAACCATCTGGATTGATGCCTAAGGCATTGGTAGATGCACTGAAATGTACAAATCATTGTTAGCGACCGGTAAAAGAGAAATTACAGATATGTACTACACAGTCAAGAAAAATGAGCCAGTGTGATGAATAAAATAAAAGACAAATTTTTGTGATATGCAAAGAAATTGTACAAAGAACTAGTACTATCTTCCAATAGATATCGTGTCTTAAAGTATGGGCTTATTTAAAGGGCAGCCATCCACCAACACTGAAAAACCTCTACAAATTGCAATGATAAATTTCTATCAATTGGGAGAATACAACAACATCCAAGCCTTAATACCAAAAGAATTCAGGGTCGGCTAACATGACTCGATCTATGATACGCCAAATAGAGAAGACGGACAAGAAGAGGGGAAAAGTAAGATAAAACGGATAAAATAAAGATAATAAATATAAGATAACAATAACATAAGAATATAAGAAAGATAAAAGATAGAAAGATAAAAGAGCATAAAAAAGCTAGAAGATAAAAATAACATTACAAAATAAAAGATAAAGAAGATAAACGATAAAATAGAAGAGAGAGGAAAGGTAAAAAAGACATCAATCGTCCACACGGATGTGCGCTATCCACTTTGCTCTCTCCAAAGCCATACTCCCGTCCAACCCAAGAAGATGCATATCAGTTTTGATTCCTCTAATCCAAGTCTTTTTGGGTCTTCCCTTCCCACCCTCAAGTCGTCTACCAGGTACATCATTCGGTCTTCTATGCACATGCCCAAACCACCGCAAACGAGACTCATGTACCTTATCTTTTATAAGTGCTACTCCCACCTTTTGTCAGATTATCTCATTCCTCAAGCGGTCTTTTCTAGTATGTCCACACATCCAACGCAAAATACGCATCTCTGCCACACTCATCTTTTGAATGTGGCATTGCTTCACCGTCCAACACTCTACGCCATACATTAATGCAGGTTTAATCGTTGTTCGATAAAATTTACCTTTCAGTCTAGTCGGCATACCTCGATCGCATAGAAATCTTGATGCACTCTACCATTTCATCCACCCAGCTCTGATTCTATGACATACATCTCTATCTAACTCACCATCCTTCTGAATTATGTAGACCAAGTAACGGAGCATATCACACACAGGTATCTCCCTACCATCAAGAGTAATCCCACTATTGTTACTACTTCTACCTCCACCAAACTTGCACTCCATATACTCAATCTTGCTTTGGCTCAGTCTCCAACCCTTGGTCTATAATGCTTGTCGCCATACTTCCAACTTTGATTTAACACTGGATTGTGTCTCATCAATCAATACAATATTGTCGGCAAACATCATGCACCACGGTATATCTTCTTGAATTGACTTTGTAAGTTCATTCATGACTATAGCAAATAAGAAAGGACTCAGAACAGATCCTTATGCACTCCGATAGTAATAGGGAACTCTGCGGTCCTTCCTACACTAGTTCAGACACTTGTATTACAAGCATCATACATATCCATGATGATACTGATATAATATCCTCCGTTCTTTAAAAGTTGCAACAGTTTGACTATCACGTTTGCCAACGCACAACTTTGACTGTAATTATATTTAATTTACGTATTAGTACCATTAAAAAAAGTTAATATTTTGAAAATTTACATTAATAGAAATTAATAACATTTTATACATAATAATTTCATTATATATACTATTAGAAAATCATAGTCAAATTATGTGTGTGAATAGTGCAAAAATCCTAATGTTGCAACTTTTAAGAAACGGAGGAAACACTTACGTGATATGCCTTTTATCTAGTTAAGGCCCACCAAAGGACTACTCGAGGTACCCTATAATACGCCTTTTCTAGGTCAATGAACACCAAATGCAAATCCTTTTTAGTGTCTCTATACTTCTCCATAACTTGTCTAAGAAGGTGAATGGCCTCGGTTGTTGAGCGTCATGGCATAAAACCAAACTGGTTCTCCGAAATTGTCACACTTTTTCGAAGTCTTTGCTCAACCACTCGCTCCCACAGTTTCATGGTGTGACTCATAAGCTTAATTCCTCGATAGTTGGCACATTCTTGTACATCACTCTTATTTTTAAATAGGAGAATGAGAGTACTCTTCCGCTAACTCACTGGCAATTTGTTGTTTCTCCAAATCATGTTAAAGAAACGTGTTAGCCACTCAATGCCTTTCTCTCCCAAACTTCTCCAAGTCTCGATCGGTATTTCATCTGGGCCCACTGCTTTCTTTCACCCCATTTTTCTCATAGCCTCTTTAACTTTCGTTGTTTGAATCCTTTTCACGAAATCCCGATTTACCATACACTCTGGTATAGTAAGATCATCAATACCTTGCACTTTATTCCCGTTGAACAAGGTATCAAAGTAAGACCTCCACCTCTCTTTTATTTCTTCGTCCTCCATTAATACCCTTTGATCAACATCTTTCAAACACTTAACTTTTCTGATATCTTGAGTCTTATGGTCACGAATGCAAGCAAGTCTGTAGATATCTTTTTCTCCTTCCTTGGTGTTCAATTTTACATACAATTCCTTGTTCACTTTTCCTCTAGCTTCCTTCACGGCTTTCTTTGCTCCTCCTAGCCTCCTTGTACTCCTCTATGTTCTCGTCGCTCCAACTTTTGCCCAATTTCTTATATCATTCCCTTTTGGTCCTTATTGCTTGTTTCACCTCATCATTCCACCACGACGTGTCCTTTTTTGGTGGAAGACGTCCTTTAGATTCTCTGAGTATCTCTTTCGCCACTTTGTTAATGGTGGACTCCATTGATAACCACACATCATCCGCATGTGCGTCATTATCAATAGCTCATACATCTTCCTCCAACATTTTGTGTGCAAAACTTTGTTGGAGATTCCCCTCGAGCCTCCACCACTTTATCTTTAGATCCCCTTGTACCTTAACCCGCCTCCTCTTTTTACCTTGAAAATCAAGCACAAACATCTTATACAGCACTCTGACCTGGGATAACCTTACAATCAGTGTAGCTAGTTCTCTAAGTCGTCTGTACTAAAAAATAGTCAATTTGGGTACTATTAACTCCATTTCTATAGGTGACAAAGTGAGAGTCTCTTTTCTTGAACCAAGTGTCCTTCTATCAAATAGGATAATATAGGGGTAAAAATCAAAATATTCCAACTTTAACTAAAAAAAAGAAACAAATAATATACTCCCCCCATCCAGGAAATGATTTCCCAGATTGACCTGCACGTATATATGTATGATAATGTTTTGTTTTGACTTTCTAATCATGCCCATACTTTAAGTCAAATCAAACAAAAGAAAGCAAAAGGAAAGAATCATAGTGACATTTGACTATTAAAAGTATTCTTTTATGGAAATGAGAACTCTATTTTGGGGAATCCAAATAACGAAAATGAGAACTTGTTTTTGGGAAGAGTTGAGAGTAAGCAATAACTTTCCCCTAGGAGGCATGGATGATTAATGTAACACAAGGTAAAATCACCTTGTAGCAGTGAGATTTGATGGAATACTCTATCAAGGTAGTAAGATAAGCTAAGGAGTTGTTTACCTTTTCCCATCAAGTCCAATCTGGATACATTATGTAGTCCTTGTGTAAGGGCTTGTTTACCTTTTTTGCTCAATTAACACTTTGAATAGAATAAAATAACCAATTTTTGGTTGACTTTTCAATGGGTAATCGCAATTATTACCACACGTCTATTCTATTGTAGGTTTGTTACGTGAAAAATGGCTCAATAGACAGATTAAATCAGAAGAAGTAATATATCAGGTTGAACAACTAAGTAACTTTTTTGCTCAATGAATAACTAAATAACGTGTGTTTCCAATTAAGTAGCAAGTAAAAATGACAAAATGACAAGGAATTAAATCACTGTCTAGGTTAAGTCCCAGTGAGGCAGTTAGGATTATTAAGTCATAAATAAACAATCTCTAAGACTAATGCATATCTATGCATTAAGACAGTGTGGAGTGGGCACCTTGATGGAGACACCCTCTCCATCGTTACCAAATCTCCATCATTGATGCCAAGACTGCTTAGCTTATCAGCATTCAACGTCTCCTTCCTATTAAATAGCAGCTTTTGTTGCTGAAGAGATACTTGTGTCTGCCCATCCCAAACAGAAATTTAAATAATCGTAATAAAATCTTATCAACTAGCCATTACAGCATAAAAACTTTACATATATATGTGTGTGACTGTGTGTGTATGTGTAGGGAAAGGTTCTTATGATAACCAACTCTGAGAACTTCTTTTAAAATAAGAAATTCTAATCCTCAGTTCCTCACGTCTCTTTTATGTGATCAATGGCTAATACTGATAAGGTGGTGTTTTTAAAATTATTTAAGAAGAATTGCATAAAAGCTGTTTGAATTTTGGATAAGTAGAATAATGGTACTGCATGTGTATTAACCATTGATTGGAAGAAATGAAAAGATGCTATTCAAAGTTCCCTAAAACAAGTTTTCAATAAGAACCCTCCTATATATGCATATGAATACATGTGTATAATAACTGTATATGTATAAGTATTGGGTCAAATAAAAAGAATTCTGAGAAATGAATAAAAATTTAATACATTGGACCGGATTTGATATGTGATTGATTAAAAGTATCAAAAAAGAAGCAGGTTAGATAAACATTATTGATTTTGTAAATAAGTAAACTTCTTAAAAAAGTGAAACTTTGAGAAGTACAAGTAACAACTTCATATTTCTTAGTTTGTACATTCTTTTTATTTGCAAGTCACCACACACACACATATGTATATAAGTTAAAAAAATACATACTTTTAACGAACCTCAACTTCCAGTAAAGCTTTCAAGTTCTCGACCTGATTGTTCAAACACAAAGATATTGGATTCTAGTAGGCAACGAATTAAAATAATAAAGAAAAAGAAGAACGAGCTATTACAGTTTCGTCTGGATCGACATCGAGGGTAATAATTTGTTCGTCGGCTGTCAACACAGTGATCTTCATCTTCTTTTGGCCTTCCGATCGAGTCTTCTCGTTCGTGAAGATCTAATAAGGGAGTTGGCTAAAGGTCCTGGTCGAATTTTTTTAGGTCCAAGCAGTCAAATGATTTTTTCGAAATGTACTGCGTTGTTTAACTTCTCAGTTATCTTCAAAAAAAAATCATTTGACTACTTTTCCGGTTGATATTTTAGCTGAAATTTGGTATCTATAAACTAGACTTAATGAAGAAGATGCTCAAAAAATTGCATCAAAAAGTTCTACCAGAAACTGTCCCAATTGACGACGGTCGGGCAGAACCTCCTATGTAAGGGCTAATTGAACACTTTAAATCAGTTCTAGAGCCTATTTAACCCTTTAGCCTGAGGAGTTTTATCGCTTTATGATTTTATTTTTTTTGGGCAAATCTTTAGCTATTAAAAAACACTTATTTACCAAATGGTACCAATTTCGAGTGAAAAGTTTTTTTTCCTTTTTCTATTACACAAAAAACACTTATTTTACCAAACACTACCAACTTTTACTTTTCAAAATCACTTTTTCTCAAACACTATCAACTTTTATTACTAATCACTTTTTCCAAATCACTCCAAAAGTGCTTTTTTAAGCAGAAGCAGTTGCAAACACTCCCTAATAGCAACTGTATTTGAGACTCCAATATTATGAGTAATTAGGATGTTTTTACTTGGATTGTAATTTGATGGTCTGGTCTGGTTTCTTTGTATTTTTATAACTACTCAAGTTTGGTCTGGTCTGGGACGAATTACAATCCAAATAAAAACATCGTTATTAGATCCCGGGTATGGTTTAGAGTAAAAGTGCATGAAGTAAATTTATGTCTAAAGAAGGAAGAATTAGTCGGCCATTCTGTCGGTGGAGGAGTACTGGTATTCACCCATATTGCAAGAGCTTTGTGAGAAAAAATTATTTCAACATTACTTTCTCTTTAGTAACAATTGTTTCTTTTTTAGTCCGAGTAGATTTGGTTTGAATGTTTGAATTTTTGAAATTCTTTTGATAGGCAAGGTTTTGGTTCCGGTCGTTTTAGGCCTAAATTTGCTCGTTTCAGGTTTAGCGAGTCATGTTGCTTTGTATGAGGTGACTGATCCAAAGTCTACTCCTAGATTTCACGATTGGATCTGTAAATTCTGTCTAAATGTCATCTTGTACTACCTCCGTCCCAAAATGATTTGCAAATTTGACTTTTCTTGGTCAAACAGTTTTGTTTTGTCCACTTAATTAGGATGTCAATTTTTAATCTATAGTTTTATATAGTAAACTTGAGTTTAAAACTAATGATGTGTCAACTTCCTATTGGATAATGCAAACTCTATTATCACCCTAGTTAGTTAAATACGGTACGGGAATTAAACGAGGTTTAATACGTTCGTGTTTTATTCGGTAACATGAATGAAAAAACAGTCAAAATTCGTTGAAAAAAATGTTGACTTTTATAAAACGTGTAAATGCGTATACATGTATAATACGTTGTCTTTTACAAAATTTTGGACAAAAAATATGGGGTATTATTTTGATCATTTAAATTATATATTTTATACAAAATAACATATATAGTAAAAAGAAATAAAAGTATACACATATTCAAGTAGCAAATTCTATTACTACATAAAAAATAATCCGTAATTCTACCGGAGAGCCTCCAGGACAAGGAGGCGATCAACCACAACTGGTGTAAGTAAGTCCAAGACATAATTTTGCAAAATGATGTCAACAAAACAAGGCACAATAACAATAGAATGAGACCAAGTCAAAATCATTATCTTTCTATTATCATCAAATAACACCCAAGTTAAACTCATTATTTTCATCAAGATGACGGATGACATATGAGAAAAGTTGTGCGATTTCTATGCTTATTATTGTTTGTGTAAAAGTTTTGCCAGGTTTAGAAAAACATTAATTTTTGATATGCTTGTGTGAAAAACATCAGAAATCTAGTACTCCCTCCGTCCTTGAAAGAACTTTCAACTTTCATTTTTCATCCGTCCCAAAAGAACTTCCACTTTCCTTACGCATTTCTCTATCCTCTACACAACTCTCTACCGCACAATACTCATTTTCTTAATATGTGTGTCATTTGTACTATGGAAGAAGTATTAGGGACAGAGGGAGTAGTATTTTAAATTTTAGTCCTTTCGGATGCTAGCTTTATCCGTCATGCAATTAGTTTTAGTAATTAGTAATTGTATTGTAACAATACAAAAACGCGGGATCACGAAGAGGTTTTCATTTCTACTTTCAAACTATTGTTGATCTCGTATGCATTTCATGCATTCGTTCAATTGATCAATTCATGAATATGTTTTTTGTAAAATACGGGAAAAATACGTTTTATACGGAAAGTAAGAGTTTTTTTTCTTTTTAAACGGACCGACATTATTTTTCGTTTTAAACGTGTTTTTTTACTCAAAAAAACGGTACGTGTTTAAAACGCGTTTAAAACGGGAAAAAGCTAACTAAGCTAGGATTATCACAACAACTAAAACAATTAATTAGCTCTCTAAATCATAACTTTTATATTTATGATCCACTTTTTACAAAAAATATATCAAAATTCATAACTTTTTGTAATCTTTCATATGACACCAATATCATATATATATATATATATATATATATATATATATATATATATATATATATATATATATAATTTAAAAAATATCTATCTATCTATAGTTTATATAGTAAACTTTGGTTAAAAAATAATGATGTGTCAACTTCTTATTGGATAATTCAAATTTTATTATCATTAATTTTATTATTATTATTATTAATTTTACTTAATATGGAGTATTAAAGAATAAAATGATACTGTATTAATTAATTAAGAAAAATAATTGAAAAAAAATTGGGATATGAAAACATCTTTAAGTTATACTCCCTCCGTCCCCTTTTAAATGTCCCGTTTTACCATATTGGGATATCCCTATTTAATTGCTCCATACCTTATTTGGTAAACTTTGTGTGGCTCAAAATCATTCTTACTTTATTCTTACTTTATCAAGTAATATCAACCACACAAACTCACTTTTCTTAAAACCCGTGTCACCATCTCCCGTCCCATTTAAAAGGGGACGGAGGGAGTATTACTTTAGTCCTATAACTTTAATATTGGTTGTTTTTGCTATTAAACTTGTAACTTTATTGACTTGCATAATTGGACATGTAGTTGATAAATTTATGAATTTATCCACATTGAAGACTTTTTTTATATCGAAATGTAGAGTTATCGGGGGTGTCGTAAAAGTAACGACCACCGTTCAATTTCTAATTTAAGCTAGATACACTTTAATTGGCGCATGTTGAAACAATAAAGGTAAAGTAGTTGTTTTACATTTTTAACACGCAAAAAGTAAAGAAGTGTAGTACACATTCAAAATGAAATGATAGATAATAAACAAAGTGAGAAATAAAAAGTCAGTGTTAATTTAGGAATATATATATATATATAGAAGTGATCCTATCCAGCAAATTTCTGTCCGAACAGTGTCCGAACATGGTCATTTGGGGCACTTCCTGGTAGAATTTTTTGATGAATTTTTTTGAGAAAGTTCCTCACCAAGTCTAGTTTGTCTATACCAAATTTCAGCTCAAAATTCGATCGGGAAGGCAGTCAAATCATTTTTTTTAAGTTGACTGCGCCAAAATATACATATAAAAACGCAGTCAACTTCAAAAAATGATTTGAATGCCTTCCCGATCGAATTTTGAGCTGAAATTTGGTATGCACAAACTAGACTTAGTGAGTAATATGCTCAAAAAATTTCATCAAAACATTCCACCGGGAAGAGCCCTAAATGGCCATGTTCGGACGGAGGCTCCTGTTCGAACGTGGGGACCTGAACATTTCCGTGTGTGTGTGTGTGTGTGTGTGTGTATATATATATATATATATATATATATATATATATATATACTAGTTATAATAACGCGCGATGCGCGAGAAGATAATGCCCAATTTCATTATCTATGTTGACAATAAGGTTTCCTAAGTTTTTATTGTCATAATCATCATCACCATCATCATCAACATTATCATCACTCGTCATTATCACCATCATCATTTTCTATATAGTTTTTCCCTTCACATATCAAGTATTAGAAAAACTATTTTTTATGAAAATGAAAATCAAAGAAAAGAAAGTAACAACAAACAAAAGGAAGGAGAGATCCAAACCAACCAACTCCAAGAAAACATTATACAAAGTATATATTTAACTTTTTTCATGAAAATATACTTTAAGTGTTTATTCTAATGTCCCACTAATTTTTAACTTTCTCACTTTATCCATTTATTTATCATTTCACTTTTTATTTTTAGTGGACTTGATCGGGCTGAACTTGCAAGTATACAAGTGCCGATGTAGTAATAAATTACCGGTAAATACCGGGTCGATCCACAGGGAAATGGGTTGATATTATAAAGTCGAGTATTGAATGCAAAGATTGTAAATGGTATAGTTTTTAGGAACTTTGTTCTTTAAGGTTGATTTAAACAAGAATAAGAATTACTAAGGCAATCGGGATTCACCTAAATGCTTTAATAGTTATTTAATAATAGTTCTTTCCCAATAATCGTGAATACGATGTCGCTAATATATTCTCAACTCCGGTTAAGGCAGCGAGAGCGTGGTTTTCGTTACGTGTAAGTCCCGTTACGGCTTACATTCATCTACCAAAAACCCCGTTGAATATCAAGACATCACACCCGTATCATATAAGACCGGATATATTTCTATTCTCGGTACTATATATGTTTATCCTTTAATGTTCATAGTTTAGACTTCAACGTTAATTGCAAGCATAAACTAAATTTAACATACTTCTATGTTGTACACCATAGTCATAAACAATCAAAATATAAAGGATAAATCACAATTTATTGGTTTAGAACTTTTATCAAACACCTAGTGTACATAGAGGTTCATCCCTAGCCTTAGCTAAGAAATTAGCCTCTAATGCTCATATTAATCACAATACAATATTGAAATGTAATGGAACATGAAATTACAAAGGAAATAATACCTAAACACCAATGGTTTCGGAGGTTGAAGTTTCCTCCTCAAGAACTTGAAGAACAAAAG